CAGAGGGTCGGAGGTTCGATTCCCCAGCCTCTGCTAGTCCATGTCGAAAAACACATTTCTATAATTTCCTTCATCTGAGTCTTTCAAACAGCAGTGATTTGCTGGGCTATTTTTTAAATACCTAAATTAGCTTTCAGCAGCTAACTGTGAGCTCGCGGTAAGCTGATCCTTCGAGAGCGAACATGATACCGTCTGATGGGGGGGTGGTTCATTGTGCTGGAGGGAACAACAACCCGATCCACTGGCTAACGATACCTGGAAAGAACATTACACAAATAATCTCCGGAGAGCTTTTCACTTCACACCTCCAAGTGTAGAGGAGCTCGTTGCTCCGACGCACTTATTAATTCGCTCAGGGACTTATGTTTTGGTATTTCCTCGTTATTTAAGGAGCATTTCTTATCGTGGATATGTGATAATACGCAGTCGTAGAGAAAACAAAGTGCTTAGAGCTCGCTATTACGTTCCTTCATGTGTGCACAGTTTTGCAATCAATTTAGACCAACACTGACATGTATATATGTAAGTAATATAGTTTTTAATTACATTTTTAATAGAAGGAATACATTAACGTGTCAAAGTATTAAAATACCTACGCACGGTGAGAAGTATCAATCAATTTTACTTATAAGAACTTTAAAAGTTTTAAGTTTTAGGTCAACATGTTTCCCAGCTGTTCCCCAAAACATACTGAGTCGTGACCCCAAAACCAAAGTGCGTGTTGAGCTTCTCCCGAGGGAAGCCCAGTTTATTTTTCCTTCTTGTGAATGTCCATCTCATATTGATCTGGGGTGCTCATAGAAAGGTTTTTGTAAGTGCAGAAATATACAAATTACATTCAATTAGGCACACAGGGTGCGGCCCAAATGTTGCTTCTCCGAGCGAATATTTGCTGGTTTTCTTAATTTCTTTTCAATGATAGTAGAAGTAATACCTCTGAAGTGTGGACTGTTAGTTTCGGGAAAAGAAGAAGTTTTAATATGTCAATTTGGGCTAAAATTGTGAAAATATTTCACTGTTTCTTGACATTTTTGAGACCAAACAATGAGAAATAATACTTGTCTGTTGCAGCCCTGGCTGTTACAGTTGGACAAAACTAATAATATATATATATATATTCAAATCTATGCATTAAATTGAGCTGGAGATCTGATTTAAACCTTTGGTTTAAAGTTTAATGAAATCCCCCATCCCACATGTACTTCATATCACCTGTGTCTATTGAATCAGGAGATCTCTGTCTCTCTCTCGACGGACGGGGAAAACATTTGTTGGCGTTTGTTTGGCGAGTACGGGCTGAGAGGTAAAGCTAACACACAGTATGTTGAGGATGAGGGGGGGGATAGACCTGTCTGGGAGGATACTGCTATTGAGTTGCAAATGAGCTTGTAATTAGCCCTTACACATTTGCCTGGAGGGAATTAGTGTGTGTGTGAGTGTGTGTGTGTGAGTTTTTTAACCCATTTTCCTCAGAATAGGGGTCGACAGTGATAAGCAGATAATACTAATTACTTCTCCTCCCAATTGCTTGTTAATTGTGCTTGGTGTGGATTTATACAGCATGGTAATATCCCCCATTCCACACACACACACACACACACACACGCACACACACACGCACACACAGCATGCCCCCCGCTTTGCCTGTTGGCAAAATCAACAGGTCATTTTTTTAAGCAGGAGGCTTCTGGTTAATCCTCTAATTAATTATGCCAAGTGGGGTTCCACCATCTATAGGTCCAGCCAATGAGGCAGTGTGTGCGTGTGTGTGTGTGTGTGTACATTCATTTGTAGTTACTAACAAGTTTTACACATTCTCCAGTTTGTTCTTAAATTAAAACACACACAAATTCAATGGCACTAAAGGTTTAGATCTGCTGAAGATAAAAACGTCTTTCTGACATCTTTCTGCACTCTTTGTAGTTATTATTACTTTATAATGAAATAACTGGTCGTAAACATGAAGAGTCTCTCACCCGATGAGTTGACGAGGAGCAACTCGAATGCACCAGTACTTTTGGGGTAAAGGCGTCGGCTCAGTCCGGGCCTCTGGATCAGGTGTGCCGTGTCCTTCGGGTGGTTCACCACCTGAAGGAGGAAACAGCAGAAGACACACAAAACAAGCAATTTGGGCTTTCCAGTTCTACTATCCTGCCTGATGGAAGGGAACCCAAACACTTGGAGGTAAACAGATAACAGATAAACCTTTCTGTGAAGTGACAGTGACAATTAGTATTTTATTGTTTGTGGGCTGTTGGATGGAGATGGATTATCTTTGGCAGCGGTTCAGAGGAACACTCAGGACTATTATATGAAGAGATAAAGTTGAACTTCTTAAGTGTTTCCCTTTAAGGATGCCTCTCCAAAACATTCATAGCAGCTATTTAACATTAGTGTGAATAAAATGACATTTTAAAGTACAACAGTATATACATTTTTGGTATCAATTTCAAAATAAAAGTGTCTGAAATTGTTACAGACGAGTATAATTACAGCTGTCCAAAAAACATGGCCACGGTGTGACATAAAGGAAAAATATATAGGATTTAAATGGTCTTGAAGTTACACATTAAATCACTATACGTACATTCTCAATAATAATTAAAGGCAGTAGAGACAAAAGCATGATCTGTGATGTCAAGATTTAAAGTATAAGATGTGATGTATATATATGACCCCCCCCCCGCCCCTCCCTTCTACAAACACATATGTAATCGGTTCAGTCCACCACCATCTTATCATTCATCCCGCTCCAACGGCTCGGGAGCGCTTAAGCAGATTTTGGTTCAGTCTGCTCTCAAAGTGTTAAACAGATTGGGTTGGTGGGGATTTCTTGTACTGAAGGTGTGTCTGTGTGTGTGTGTGTGTGTGTGTGTGTGTGTCTGTGTGTGTGTACGTAAGTGTGGTGGTGGTGGGCAGGGGCGCAAAGTGTCTGAAACTTGGAGGGGTTAGATTAACTGTGAGCATGATCTTCACTGAGCTCATTTCTCCCCTTCTGTGCCAAAGAGTGTGGCGGACACACACACATACACACACACGCACACACACACAGAGACACACACGCATAAAATCACACCTAACCCTTTGCATTAGTTTACCAATCCCACCTGGTATGTTAAGCTAGATTTAGGCTCTAACACGTATCAAATGATTGCCTACTGCTTATAGAGTCATTCTATACGCTTTCTATACCCTAAACACCATGAACAGCATCTCTAATTGACTGTAAATTAACTAGTGTTGATTCCGATAATTGATTAACTGCTTAGAGTAATTTATCTACATATTTGCTCATCTCAGCTGCTCAAACAAGATAATTTTCTACTTTTCTCTGTCTTATATTATTGTGAAATGAATAATATATATAATGAAGAAGAGATGATGAAGCCTCAGTCATAACTACAATGTTGAGAATCACTATTTGGGTTAAAACTTTCCTCATGAGACATTTACATTTTTAATTGCACATGCTTGACATGTAGCATCTTCCGGTGTTTCATCAGCAAATATTTAAAAATAAAAAACATAAATGTGTCCCGAGTATAAGTCTTAAGATGACTCCTCACTTGATGCTCATATGGAATTTATGTTTTAATACATTTATTTCCAAATTAAGAAAGAAATGTATCAGATTCATATTGTTTTAATTTAATTTTCTTTGAAGTTGTCTGTATTATGTCTGCAATAATAGATGATCATTTGCTTCAACAATAGATTATTGAAATGTTAAAGCACTAAAGAAGTATTTAAGATGACACAAACTGGTTTTGTTAGAGGAATTATTTAAATGTATTGTTTAGTATTGATCCCAACAACACAACCTGATGTTCAAAGATATTATCTGTATTCTAGACAGATTTGTAGACGAATTTTAAGCCACTTCACCGATGATCCTTCACCTGACTGCAACCTTTATCCAAAGACTCATATGCACTCCAGGGATTAATCTATGTCTGCTTTCAGCGCCGTTTGTTTTAGGCTGTAAGTTAAATTGCTAATTTAATATCTATAACTTAACGTTCAGGCTTTGGTCCACTGATGCTTGGTAAAGTGACACATATATATATATATATATACATTTCCTCTCAGCTATGGTGTGCAAATGAAGTGTAACGTGTTTGTTTGTATTACAGTTGACAGATGCTGACAGGATCCTTAACCTGATTAATAAGAAAATTATCCTAAGACTGATTAATGAGCTACTGAGATCAGAGGGATTGAACCAGGCAGCAGATCATTAATTCCTTATCCCGGAGTTGCTCCACCATACATCGATGCCTAGGGGCGTTTTTATTATGCCTTGTCCTGGCAAGAGGTCGCGGAGGATGAACTATGGAACCGTATCTCTTTTAATTACATGGGTATTAGCTGGTTGGGGATGGCAGCTTTGTGTCCCGACGTGTCTTCTCGGCCAAATGTCCAGGCACATTTTCATGACCATGACCCCACGATGTAATAATTGTGCCATCAACGTTCAGGCTTAACCATTCCTCACTACGACTTTAAAGTTTTCACTCATTCCTAGAAGTATGAATACCCTCACTTCTTGGCATTCTCCTACATCTTCTTGGGTTTGCCTGCTGTCAAAAAATCGTGGAGTGGTTTTCTCTCCACGTCTATCATCTCCTGTCCATGGCTGTCTCCATCTCCACCAGATCCGTCATCAAATAACATATCCCCGCTTGTTTGCTCGCTGCAGTCATCCCCGCAGTCAATGTATCCTCAGGCTATAAGCCAAACAAGCTGATCAGCCAGTCACCTCTGTACACACTACCCCCCACTAAGAGGCTAATGGCCCGGACGCATAATCCTTCTCAAAACAACTACAGAGATGCTAATTGTATCTCGCTATAAATACAGGTCGACTCCTTGTCCTCTTTCTTTATTTAGCTTGCGGCCACCGTTGCGCACCAGCTTCTCTGAAACATTTGACCAAATACCGGGAAAGACTCTGCTACTTAAGAGAGGCGGAGGATAGATGCTGCAAGTGTCAAAAATCTTGCCATCAATCTTGGAGAAAACAAAGAGGCAGCGAGCGCACGGAGCGTTACGCACGGTTGGACACAACACTTCATGCGCCTCGCGAACATTTCATAGCTTCTTCGGTGAGCTACTGGGGAGGGGGGGGCGGAAAGCACCTAGTCGAGATGTTCCCACTGCCAATGTTCACGCCGGACCAGGTCGCTCGGGTGTGCGAGAACTTGGAGGAGACCGGGGACATCGAGCGCCTCGGCAGGTTCCTCTGGTCCCTGCCCGCGGCCGTCCCTGGCTCCGCGGGGGAGGCGCTCAACCGACACGAGTCCGTGATGCGAGCGCGAGCGCTGGTCGCCTTCCACGGGGGAAACTTCGAGGGTCTTTACCAGATCCTCCAGAGCCACCGGTTCACGCGCGAGTCGCACGCCAAGCTCCAGGACCTGTGGCTGGACGCGCACTACCGAGAGGCGGAGAGGCTGCGCGGGCGGCCGCTGGGCCCGGTGGAGAAGTACCGGATCCGCAAGAAGTTCCCCCTGCCCCGCACCATCTGGGACGGCGAGCAGAAGACCCATTGCTTTAAGGTAAACACAATGATACGCGTTCTAGTGTTACGGCTGCTGGTGACAGGGTGATGGAGTTTGAGCCCCGCGGTACAACCCACGTGTCCCCTCATTTTAGGGCGAAATCTATTGCATCATATTATATTATTATAATGCATTCAGACTATAGGAAAGTGCATCTTAACATTGTAAACTTGACCACCAGCAGCTCTCTACAGATGATTTTTAACCTGCTGTATGGAGCAGCCTGGTCTTTGAGCTCTTAAAATGATAATATCCAGAGCTTTGGTTATCCATCTGCCTTCTGCCGTGACTTTACACTACTTTAGACGTGGTGGCCTGTTGCAAGATCAGAAGTCTCGTACAAGTCTGGTCAATACTTTCTGACCAGGATATCCAGGCTTTCATATACCGACAAACAAGGTTAGATTACGGCTCCTAAATATGCCAAATTAGTAGTTTTAGCACTGATTTCAGCACAACTTGTAAATCTATAGGTGAATACATCATGTTAATTTCATTTGTTTCGTCATATATCTTAAACCAACTTTATATGATGTCACACAGCCTTTTATTTGACCTGTTTTTGATTTAAAATGGTCACTTCAGCATAATTTCCTGTGTGCACCTGCAAAGGCCAGATTTCTGCAGGTTCCATTAGAGTTTAATCTGTAATTAGCAGCTAATATTTCAAATATAAAACCACAGTATGATCAATAATCTAAACGAGCCTATCTATCTGCTATCCAGGAGCCAACATAGACATTTATTCCATGTTGAACTCTTCAGCTCCTCGCCTGCAGACATGTGTATACAGAAATATACACAAACACTGAATTTCATTATTAGTGGTTCTTTTGGAAGCAAATAGATTGTCTTTAAATTATGATAACTGTTATGATAGTCTGTTAAATGTCACAAGAGAGAAATTTACTTTAAGGATTCAAAGATTAAGTTGTGTGTTTATGTGATCTCCCTCATGTGACTGGGGGGGAAGTATCGTTCATAGTTAATCTGTAATTCCAAACCTCAGGAGGGATAGCTACCCCGACAGCCTATTAAGCCCCTTAACATGATCCAATTTGGTGGCTATGAATTGTCATGTATACTTCCAATAATCTACTGTACTAATAAATCAAGTGTAATGTGATTATACTGAGCATCATATGAGATTATTGTGGTCTAATAGGATATTAAAACACCATATGGTGTCTTATCAAAGTGCTATTCCATGCTAATAGAGTGTACGTTGTGTTGTCTACTTAACAGAAGATAATATAACATGAGATTAATGAATGGCAGCCTAAATATTCCATATATTTCTATGTGTTCTCCAGGAAAGGACTCGCAGTTTGTTGAGAGAGTGGTACCTTCAAGACCCGTACCCCAACCCGTCCAGGAAGCGCCACTTGGCCCAGGCCACGGGACTCACACCCACACAGGTCGGCAACTGGTTCAAGAACCGCCGCCAAAGAGACCGTGCTGCGTCCGCAAAGAACAGGTATGTCAATATTTACATATGGTTATTGGTTAATTCCACTGTATGCAATGAGTATTAACATCTGCCTGAAGAGCAGCTCCAGCACATCCATCCATTGAGCCCGAACTCATGTCTCTCATCTCTCCCTCCACCCAGAATGCAGCAGGATTCCTCCCTCTTGCCCTCTGGGAGCTCCCCTAACGGCTCCCTCCAGGACCGCCGCCATCACGGCCACTTGTTGCCTCCGTCTCCTCGCCACCTGGGCAGCCCGGAGGCCAGCGACTGTAGCACAGACGAGCGGCGAGGAACTGGGGCCTCCACCCCAGAGATCTCCGTCAGCAGCGACAGCGAGTTCGAGTCTTGAGAGGGTCAAGACTCTCTTTTCCCTGCGGAGGGGCGAGAGCAGCATCCATCATCAGACCCAGATAAAGACATTTAAACTGGCCGTGGCTGTTTGGAAACACTGAGGTGTTCTCAGTGGGAGGAGGAGGAGGCTGTGAGTGGACATTGTGAGGCAATGATGTGCAAAAACAACCAGCACTTAAAAAAAAAGCACCATGGCACATGACTCCGACTGTTAAATGAACTAGTTTACTGCTGAGCATGGTCTTTAGATAATGTGAGTAATAACATTTCAGGTTTTTGATACTTTTGTTTTGGATAGATCATTTTCTAATAGTCATTATCTAAGCTACATAACTCATTTGTATGGAAATTGTGAGGACACAATGAACAATGCCTTGGGTAGGCTTTTAATATATGTCGCTACATTTAGATGCAGAACTCTATTATCGTCAGACTACAGCAATACAGTTTGAATAAATCTCCAAAATGTACCTAATGGCACTATTACGAAACAATGTCAACTTTAACCATCTTGTTATAATGGCATGTAAACATAGTGACAGACCAAGTAAACACATTTCACTGCCTTAAAAACTAAGGGCATCACTCTTTTACAACAGAAAACCAATTCATAGCATAAGTTTAGAAAGACTTTATGTAACTAATGATGCAAATGTGCTGCTTAAAATACAAAACCATTTTGTTACCAGCTGTGTTTTACCTGTTCACTCCGTGTTTGTTTACCGTTTAAAATATGTAGTTTTTGTTTTTGTAAATGCTCCTGAGCTGCTCTGATGAATTCCCGCAGGAGCTGAAACAGAAAAAGACGAGACAGCGAGAATGTAAAGCACTAGTCGGTCTTAACTCAATGTGCCTATTACATTTGAGAACAGTGAGACCCGGTCAGGATACGATTGTGTCCTCGTGTCACAAAGACACACTCAACGGCCTGTTTGCTGTCTCTTTTTACAACCATCATTTCTCATAACACATTACTGCAATGAAAAGATGTATTTTGTAAATGTTTTATGTAAATAAATTAACCTATTTTTATCCAAAGTTATACTGACTTGCTGTATTTGTGAGTTCAAAACTGTGTTGATACAGTAGGCCTACAGCAATGATGTTTCTTTAGCTGCTAAATGCTCCACTATGTTCACCAGCTAGCGACAGCATTACTTAGCAGCTAGTCTGTTGAAGGGTAAAGTTAGGTAGGATAGAGTGGTTTTATCAGAGCTTTTCACAGACAAACCTTTAAATCACTGGCATGTTTTTCAATTAAATAATACAAGTCACACAAAACAAACACCTACTAATGTTTTGAGGACATTCCCAGGTTCCCAAAAGAGTCTTCTACCCAGCTTAAACAAAAAATATAATTTATGCGGGTCAATTTAGAATATTTTTACCTGTCCCGGAGTTGCAACTGTTTCCTAAAGCAAACAAAGATGGCGGCCGGAAGTGACATCACTTCTTGCTTATTTTGTAGCGCAACGAGCGTTAACGGTAGAAAACACGGGGGCAAAACGACGCCATCCATTGTCTCTTGAGCGGCCGCTATTCTATTTTTAGGAGGCACAAAACTAATGTGATGCTGAAGGAACCTAAGGGAGGATTATTATTAGACTACTGCTATTTTCTGTGAAGCAATTCAAAATACAGAAAGTATCATTCAGTGACAAAAGTTTAAAAGTGCATGGACGACTCAAAAACAGTGAACAGATGTAGTAAAATGTCTCACCAGTGGTGGGCAGAGTATAGACATTTACATAATAAATGGACCAAATGTTCTTTTTTTGATGTTGCAACTTTAAAAATGACTTGCCTCATTCAAAAGAAAGCTACCTGTTTTTACCTGAAGTTTAGGTCCTTCCCCTCTTTCCAGATCACAGAAAATGGGTGTCCACCCATTCAGCGATCCCGCCCACGCTGGAAGGAGTAGCAAGAAGACTTCTGCTTACCTGTCAGTTGTAGTCACTGCTAAATTCATTTATTATAGTCTTGGATTTGTCATTTGTTGGTGAAACTCCTGTCCTGACAGGAGGGAGTTGAGCTGTATTTGTTTAAGCATGGACAGCGAGGGGAGAAAAGTGGTGGTCTGTGACAATGGGACAGGGGTAAGTCAAGTAGTGTCTGTTTTGTACCATGCCGTTACCCAACAGTCTATTAACATCACTGGTTATTATCTTTTTTCTTTTCCAGTAACTTTTTAGCTTTTATTCAAAGTGTTTTCTTCAAAAATGTCTCCTGCAAACCTACACCAGCTGTGTTAAACATCTGTTTTATTTTAAAGTAGCTGCTCTAAGAGGGAAAACGTTTACTTCTGGATCATATGCAATGGTTGACATCTGAAGGGTGTGAATCCATGTGCATACTGTAGCCTGATTCCACATCTGTCTAGACTTGTCACTCTGCCTCTGTATGTGCACACACAGCCATAAATAGTTGTGATGCTTTGAACTGAGCAACAACTGGATGAAAAGCAGGAAGAGAGATTTGAGATAGTAAAACATCCGGAGTGGCTCTTAAATACTGTATTGTGGCATGTAGATACTGATATAGGTGAGGACAAACGTGAATAATGAACCGTATATAGTCAGAAACTTGTGTCCTATATTTATTTTGCCTCTCTTTGGAATCCATTTCACCCCTTCAGGCTAAGGAATGTGTCCACGGCCACAAAGACAAGTTGAGACACTACGGTATGAGGTGCAGTCATGACAGGCAGAGAAGCAGCAGGCCATTTAAAAGCAATGCAACAATATACTTATGCCAAATGAGTTATTGCACATGCTTTTAAAAATGTAATGAAATTGCATTTACATGTTCTGATGAATAATCTGGTGAATGCATCATAATAATACACTCTGGGACAGACAGATTAAGCCGGATTAAACTGAATGGAATTGATTTATGAATGGAAATTATCCATTCCAAAAGGCTTTAGTGCCGGAGTACAATTAATGTGAGTTAACATACAAAAACGAGAACTTTATTCACAAACAAGTCCACGTTTGTTTCACTCTTACATCCCTCCCCAGTTTGTCAAGTGTGGCTTCGCTGGATCCAACTTCCCCGACCACATCTTCCCTGCCATGGTGGGTCGACCGATCATACGATCCAACACCAAAGTGGGCAACATTGAGATAAAGGTGGGATTACTCTAATGTCTTGCTTTGCATATTTTCCCCGTTCTTTGTCACTTATTAACACCAACTCTATGTGGTTGTATTCTGGTTAAAGCGAAGGGAATGCCTGCCTGGTAAGTCTGAACACACGCTATAAGACTTGTTAAGTTAATTAAACACCTGACCTACCTCCTCTCCTCTACCTCCTCTTACCTCGCAGCTCAAACGTATCAACGTGTCTTAGATCTGTACACCTGTTAGCTGCCCGTAAGACACAGTTAAATTCATGTTCTCACGGAACCTGAGGCTGTGCCGAGCACTCAGACTTTTACTCCTCGTAATCCTCACGGGACATCTTGTGGAGCAGGAGTGCAAAGGCCACGTTGGCTTCATTTCATAATCCACAGCAGAGTCAAAACAAAAACATCATTGTTCACAAGATAGTTGTCTGTCTCTTTTGGTCAAATATACCTTCCTTTTCCCCCAACATAGTATCAAAAGTTGTCATCAGTTTGATTCTTAGTCTGCTTATCTTTGATCACCTGATTTAAATACTATATTCTGAAAAAATGTTTTTACGGTTGCAAGTGTTAAGACAATACATTGATGTATATATTCCCCAATATATGGTATTGGAAAAAGTATTGTTTTTGCATCTGTGCCTAAATTAAGGCATCAGGAATGACATCTAAGAAACAATACCAAGTCCTCATCCTTTTTAACACAAAGCAAGAGCAACACAGAACAATTGCAGACTAACTGTAGAGTGCACATATTACAACTTCCCCCTATTCATAAGAAAAAAAACCCTAATCCTGTATTCCTAAAAAGGTAAATAAACAGACATTTAACAGAAAGGTTAGCTCTTATCCCGTTGCTGACCTCCTCATGCTCTCTCCCACCAGGACCTGATGGTGGGTGATGAGGCCAGCGAGTGCCGCTCCATGCTGGAGGTGTCCTACCCGATGGAGAACGGCATGGTGCGCAGCTGGGAAGACATGCTCCACCTGTGGGACTACACCTTCGGCCCCGACCGCCTGGACGTCAACCCGCCAGAATGCAAGGTAGAACACAACTGGGCAGATGTTGTACTCTATTAACTTTTCAATACAACAATACAAGCTGCACACGTTTCCTTGCAAAATGTTAGAGCTGCTAAATGTTGTGTGCAGCTTTTACGGAGGTTTGCAAGAAGCCTGCATTGTAATGAATTCTACATTGGTATGCTCGGTATCACAGCATTATCCTCTCTTTCTGTATCCAATTAAAAACGTATGCATGAATTCCCTCAGTTTGTATTGTATTTGTTTCTTCCTGAAGATCCTGCTGACCGAGCCGCCCATGAACCCCACCAAGAACCGGGAGAAGATCACGGAGGTCATGTTTGAGACGTACCAGTTCCACGGCATTTATGTGGCAATCCAGGCTGTGCTCACTCTGTATGCTCAGGGTAAGACATCAAGTCCAATCATATGTCAATATGTAGTTTGAATCGTTTTTTCATATTAAATTGTTGTTTCTGAGAGCAAACTGTAATAATCGTGTGTTTCAGTGTTTAAAAACAGACACAAGAAATCTAATTTCTAACTTTTCTGTTCTGTCAGACCTCCAGGATTATTGGAAATGTTTCATTAAATAATCTTTTGGGAATTGTTCCCGTCTACAGGTTTGCTGACCGGTGTGGTCCTCGACTCGGGGGACGGTGTCACCCACATCTGTCCCGTGTATGAGGGCTTTTCTTTACCCCACCTCACACGCCGGCTGGACATCGCAGGACGGGACATCACGCGGTACCTCATCAAGGTGAGCCGGGAGACTCTCAGCTCCATATTGCACATGAAGAAATGAGGGGAAAAAGATGCCTAAAAGACAAACGACAACACCACTCACCTTTTTGTCTTCCCGCCATCAGCTCCTGCTCCTCCGAGGTTACGCCTTCAACCACACGGCCGACTTTGAGACTGTGCGTTTGTTGAAGGAGGAGCTCTGCTATGTGGGATACAACATCGAGCAGGAGCAGCGCCTGGCTTTAGAGACCACCTACCTGGTGGAGACGTTCACGGTATGGTGAAGAACTGAATCCCAGGAAAGAAGTTTTAGTTTAAGTCTATAAGGAAGGGTTCAGCATTTTGGGAAATGTGCCTATTGGTTTTCTTGCTGAGAGTTAGACGAGAAGATCGATACCACTCTTGCACATGTGCGGTAAATATGAAGCTAAAGCAAGCAGTTGGCTAGCTTAGCTTAGCATAAATACTGGAAAAAGGGGAAACAGCTAGCAAGACACCAAAGTTTAAAAAAAACAACAAAATAACAAGTTATATCTTGTTTGTTTAATCTGCTCAAAAAGTAAAAGTATTGTAAGTGTAAAAACAATAATTTGTGGAGTTATGGGGTGGTTTATGCTAACTTAGCTCTATTTAGTTAGCGTACAAACATGGTATGAATTTTCTTATCGAACTCTTGGCAAGAAAATTGATTAATAAGCGTATTTTCCCAAATATAAAAAAATAAATGTAATGCCACTATAAGAATAATTTAAACATGTTTTGATGCTGTGTAAGAAAAGACATTGTGGCACGCTGCTGCCATGTTGTTCTTACAAAAGTAAAGTTGGTTCCTTTCTGTTGTGCAGCTCCCTGACGGCCGGCAGGTGAAGGTGGGTGGAGAGAGGTTCGGGGCCCCTGAGGCTCTCTTCCAGCCTCATCTCATTAACGTGGAGGGAGCAGGAGTGGCGGAGCTGCTGTTTAACACCATCCAGGCTGCAGACATCGACCTCAGGTCTGAGTCTCCTCACTGCCGTCTGTACTGACGCCCTGAAGAAGACACACAGGGGATGTAGACAAGTCGTTGTCCCATCTCCCATCTGTTTTTTTTTTCTTCTTCTCTGTGCAGGGCAGACTTCTATAAGCACATTGTTCTGTCAGGAGGGTCCACCATGTACCCGGGACTTCCATCCAGACTAGAGAGAGAGATCAAGCAGCTCTACCTGGAGAGGGTGCTGGACGGAGACACTAAGAAACTATCAGTAAGAACTTTAGTATCCACTGACAACATGTCTGCTCTACTGGAGAATGATGCAGTCTGGATACAGCTGGGGAGATAATCTGTTTATTAAAACACAGCAGCAACACAATGTTGGATAAGGTTATCGTTTACAACTTTTAAAATCTCTTCAATACCTTTGCATAAAATCAAAACAACAATGTTAAAACATGTTCAGTCATTTAATACATGTTAAATAGCATTGACAATAGAGCTGTTTTACTCTTTTTGTAATGATAATTGCATTTGACGAAACAATCTCAGCCTGAGGTCCACTTACTCGCTTGTTCTGGAGCTTTTGAGCACATCACATGGTCATTAAGACCAATACTGAAAGTAAGTGGACCTTGAGCTGAGACGGGTTGGGAGCAGTTTTATCTGGTGCTCTAACTAACAAACAGAGAGCGACACATACACTCATAGAGAGAACTCACCTCTCCTTTTTCCTCACCTGTGTAGAAGTTTCGGATCCGCATCGAGGACCCTCCCCGGCGTAAACACATGGTATTCCTGGGCGGCGCGGTGCTCGCCAACATCATGAAAGACAAGGACTCCTTCTGGCTGAACCGGGCAGACTACGAGGAGAAAGGCCTGGGAGTGCTGCAAAAACTGGGAGGTGGAATCAGATAAAAAAAACAACAACATCACCCAGATATTTCAGCTTTTATATCAACTTCTCACCTCTTATAGCCTGGCATGCTGGATGAAAAAGCTTGTACTCAATGTACAGTACTTCACGGGAAATGGCGCTCCTTCATTCCTGCTAGTGCTGGAACAATATTTAGATTAATCGACTGACAAAAAAGTGACAATTGTCTTTGATGGCCAAGTTTTTCTTTCTTTATATCATTTAAAAGTGGACATGCTTGAGTTTTCTGACATGTCATAGACTTCATTTCAAAAATATTTAATAATATAAATAACTGTTACAGCTATTGAGCAGCTGCTGAGGTGAGGTTTTATAACAGGAAAGCAATCCCCAGACTGAAAATATTTTGTTACATCCAATGAATAAGTGAAACCCCATATTGTGCTTTTTAAAAGGCTACTGCAATAAGAAAGTTATGTTAACGTGTGCTGGGAAACGCCACTGACTGATGTAGAAAATGTGAAATGTTTTAAACGGTAAATAATCATAAACCTGAAAAACAAAGTAGCTTGCTAGCTCATTGTAATCAATGCTTAGCTTATTAAGATATTCTCTGTCTTGATATTTTCTTTGCATTTGGGCAATATCAGTATTTGATTCGTCAGATGTTCAAGGAAAGTTTTACCAACTTTCAAATAAATTTGATCAAACATGCAAAATTAAGTATTTTGTGAAAAGTGAGCAGTTGTTTCTTTGATTTGTTAAAAGCTGGAATAAAGACCAAAAATATAAAATTATGTTAGAATGTGATAACTCTTGAATAAACCTGAGGGTGCTGGTGGTTTAACAGCAGGAGTAAAAGGGTGTTTGCTTCCATCTGGTGGTTGAATTCCTTTAAGACATCCAATCACAACATTCACAATCAAACTACAAAACCAAACTGAAAGTAACACTGTCAACAGATATTGCAATTTTTTTTATTGCGATACGGAGTTACCTGACAAAATACAGTAATGTGTTTTTTCACACCGAAAAAAAAAAGAAAGAAAAAGAAATAGTGAGCTCTCACAATGAACACATGCTTCACGCGCACCACATTCGCAGAACCTTCACGTTAAATGAAAAAGCATGCAATAATGTTCAAAACACAGAGTCATAGTTCTCAAAATGAACCCCCTCAGCTGATTTAAAAACTCCCGATATGTTGAAAATCCATACTTAGGTTTGATATCTACCCGACAAGTTGAACAATTAAAAGTTAGTTTTAAAATACACAACGTGATAATTGATAATGACACGGAGTAGAACAGTCAGTTGATAGTGATGACTTGCAGCAGGAGCTACCAGAAGCTGGTGACCTTTGACATTTACATTCTACCAGTCACCGAGAGGTCCTGGTTTATTGGTCAGACCGGTCGTGACGTTATTTTACAGTACGGCCAAGAGAAACAGTAGAACTCAAAAAAGCGGTGAGTTGAAAGGTGAAATGAATGCAGTTGTGAAGGGATTAAAGTCTGACACGTTTTTAATACATTCGCAAGTCATTCAGTAAATCTGTCGCAGGTTGTCTCGGCGCGTCGATGTGATGTTGTTTCTCACTCGGGTTTTAAAAAACAAGAGAGCCCGATGCTTTTCTTGTCACTTCCCTCCCACTCGCTCATTACTCCACCTGCCAAAAAACACTTAATAGAATACGCCAGCGGGGAGGAGAGTCTGCACTAAAATAAGCAAAAAAATAAAATTGTCTCCGTGGTTGACTCTAAAAATAAACAGCTGATTTAAAAGCTTCCCTCGAGCTTGACATTTCTTTCAAGGTAAACACCTGTTGTATCACAAGGTGGCCTCTCTTTATCTGTGTTTTTTTGTCACTTTGGTATTGAGGTTTGGTCTCGGCTATAACACATCTCACCCTTTTTTTTGTCTAACTGTATTCCAGGGGGCACCGAAAAAAAGCCGTTAACAACGTGGTATCCATCCAACATAAAAGTGAAGTAATAAAACATCCAAGTGTCTTTTTAGATTGTTGCCCAGAACTATACTGTGAAAGGGTTACATCACCACGGTGGACAATTTGCCTTCTCGTGTGCGTACAGGAAGTGATTTTTGTTTCCAGGCAACAGTAGTCTCACAGAATTTGTCTTTGGATTTGAGCCTCCACACGTTTTTTAATGATGTAATCCCTATCACGGTATAACTCTGGGTTCATGTTTCAAATAACAAAACAAAATCCATTTATTACACATTTTCCATGTCACAAATAGTAGTACACTGCTTTACACCAGCAGCCACACTGAGTGGTACATAGTACAACCGTTGGTCCTGCTGTGCTCGGCATTGTTGGTCCATTTTTTTCAGGAAAGAGTTTACCGTTAAAGGTCTGCTCCTAGTCTGGAGAAGGGCTGTGGTTTTTTCAAAACGAGTCCTGAACCCACGACGAGACACAACACACCGCCCGGAGAAAAAAAGAGACAGAACAAGAGAGAGAGAAAGAGAGAGAGAAAGCGAGAGCAACCATCCATCTCCTCCTCCTCCTCCTCCTTCCTCCTTCCTCCATTCCTCCCACTCACTCCTCACACACTGACTCGCTCAGGTCCACGGCGCCACCTCTGGTGAGCCGCCGCATCTTGCTGAAGTCGTGGTCGGTCCTCAGGTAGGAGAGCGAGGGGCCCCCCTCGCTGTGGCTGGCCAGGTCCTGGGGCTGGGCCTGAGGCGGCAGGGCCCTCATCTCGCCGCCGCTGCGCCAGTACAAGGTGTATTGCTGCGGGTCGGACACTCCGAAAGTGGCGGCGCACAGCTGCGCCAGGGCCTGGCTCGTCTCCCCGGCTCTCCACTGCAACGTCCGCACGGCGCTCCGCTCCCCGTCCTGGAACAGTATCCGAACGCACCTCTGTAGGGAGGGAGGGAGGGAGGGAGGGAAGGAGGGAGGAGAGAGAGAGGAAAAAAAGAGTGAATATATACTGTATTCATGCAAAACAGAGGTCAAGGGGCTTATGGAGTGAGGGCAAAAGAGGGGGAGGAGAGAGAGAGAGAGAGCTGTGCGAGCACACAGGCTGATAATCCACTGTGATAAATGAGCCAAAATGATGCTCATAAAAGACATTCTCTCTAAAAACAAAGCTCCTGCTTCCCACACACACAACCAGCAGGTCCGAGAGCTTCGTATGAACAATCGTCTTCGGGAAATTGCTCTTTTCTCTGTTGCAATATTACAGCTTCATTGACAAACTCCCAATATCAATCCAGTGGAGCGCGTCCACGTCCGAGCTCACCACATATAATCCATTAAGCTCGCTCTATCTCTGGTGAAGTTTTTCCCTCAACACTTGCATCCAAACTTTTCAAAAAAGAACAGAAAGCGCTCAAACACGCAACTAACGAGTCCCTCTCAACAATTGCCACTCTTCAAACACTTAGCCAGCGACCTGACACCTGAGCTATTATATAATGTCAGATTCAGCCACCTACAGACGCCCTCACAGCTCTCCTTAGAACACACAGTGAAAACATGCTCAACATAATCCTTTTACCAAACATCCAAGCTTGAGAAACCAGAGAGAATCCTCTTGCTCAGCCACACACCGACACACACATCCTACCTGCACACACAACAACACACAACTACCCCCCCTCCCCTCCTCCTCCTCCCCCCCCAAACACACACACACAGATGCACAAGTGGCCAAATATGCTCTAAAAAGACAAAGAAAGACACACAATCAACAGGTCTGCCATCATCAAAAACTTACAGAGTCACTGAGCTCCTCGCTGTCCGTGTGCATATTGTGTTTGCCTGCTTCGATGGGTAGATGCGGCTCAATAAATTTCATGTTATCTGACCGCCCACTTCTTCATAGCACTTGGCTCACTGATCCCGCCTGTGTCAGTGGAAAAACTGGCTGCCGGGTGAGTTAGATCGGCTATTTGAAGCCAGGAGAGGCACCACGTGACGAGACAGAAGCGTTGTGGATGACAATGCCTGCCCTCCCCCCACCCCACCATGGCCACCATTCACCAGATCTGGGGCCGGGAGGGTGACAATAGGAGAGTGTAGGTGAAAGTCGGTGTATTAGTGCACGCCCCGTCTAAGCCAGATCAGCGGATTACCTCTAAAAATGCTCACGACTAATGAAAGATGAATTTGAAACGTGTCTGTGCACAGAGGAGGGAAACCCATGTGTTGTTTCATTTCTGACGGATGAACTATACGGTTGCACCATTTGCTCGACCTCTGGGAAATTTGAGTGCTGTCCTCGACTTCAGTAATACCTGAGATCGACATTGAATCAAATATGGGTCGCCGTTGCCCGTTTCCGGCCCACCCGTCGCTGTCACAGCTGTAGGATAATCTGATGTTCCTCAGCCTGCATCGCCATCAGTGTAATTAATGTAAAGTCTGATCTCTTTAGGGGGATTATCGCCTCGTTTGTGTTCGGCCTTTTGTGGCCGTTCAATTAAACACGACACATGGTTCAGGTTTGAATCACGAAATGTGGAAACAGCTCGTCAATTATTCGTAATGTCTTTTTGGAATTTCGTAATTTTAAACCTTTTATTTTCCCATCTACACAGACCTCTAACAATCTTGAAAATCAGTCACATCATGGTTGAATCACAGATATGATCTCCCTTTACATCATGCAGTATCTTCCTGGTTTAAGTTGATTTCTTTTTTTAGGATTTAAGGTGATAGACTGAACTTTGTTGTTCCAAAAGTCTGAGATATTTTATTACCTGTGCAACGTCTGCAATAAAGGAGCGTACGGTGCCCCTGCTGTCAATCACTTTTTATTACTGGTTGTTTCGATCCACACACAAAATGGGTTCCAGTCTATATTTTAGGAAGCTCTGAATCACTCTACCCCTCCAGCATCACTAAGCATGGCACCTCTGTCTCTCTTCTGTGAATGATCTCATAAGCATCAACACGTATCCAAAGTACTGAGAGCGTTGAGAAAGCAAATCACTAAAATACAAAAACAGCAACTCTAACATAAAAACGTAAACCATTTTAAATTGATTTTTTGTAGAACATCCCATCGAACTGTTTCACTGCATAACAAGCAGGAGTTCCTACGCTCCGCACATCAATCAGCTCTTCGCACAGGGCAGCTATGTGTGACAGCTATAAAGTAGATTACTGTGCAAACCCACACATGCTGTAACACTACAAGTGTTTCTGTGTTGTGCTATACTCCAATAAAGAAAAAAAAAGCATCTGGCACTGCACCGACCTGGCTCTGCTGGCTCTCCTTTTGTCTCTGGGCCTCTCGGCTCCGTCTGCAGCTCCACTCCTCCAGAGCCTCCTGGGCCTCCGGGGTCAGGCAGCCTGAGAGCTGCTGCTCCCTGTCCAGGCTCTGGATCAGACACAGGCTGGCGTACATGCTGGTCAGGTAGTACCCACCTGGAACCAAAAACAAACAATAAAAAGAGTACACAACTTCTAGTCACTGTCGATAACAGACAAATAGTCTGAAGTAAAAGATTAGAGCAGGACTTTCAGAGCAGATTCATGAGCAGGCAGAGTAAATATTGATTTAATACTGCATGGTTTGTTTTCTTACTAAGAATGTAAGAAAATACAGATGAATTTATTGATAGTAAAATATGAAATGACCTAAATGTAATTAGTCGCAAGTAATTAACATCTAGAGCTGAATTGATTTACTTGTACAGAAATTGAATCAATAATAAATTAAGTAATTTTTCTTAGGAAACAATTGGATTTTCTGGTTTTCTTAGTCTTCTATGATCGTACTTTATATATAATTAAATATGTTTAGTTTTTGGGCTGTTGTGTTGATCAAACAAGCAATTTAAATATATATGTCCTCTTGGGTGTAGTGACATTTTGTGGGCATTTGTCACTATTTTCGGACATTTAACACAATATTAATCAATGAATGGAGAAAATAAATGGCAGATTTATTGATAGTGAAAAAAATCTTGAGTTGCAGCCAAGTTACTGGCCAAGAGTAGTAGACTCTCAATAAAGTCACATAACTCAAGTCAACACATGCTGAATTAGAGGGGGGTGTATCCTATCTACCTGAATACAGGTTGTCCCATATGTTATGAGAATCTACTGTGTGAATACTGGCACCAGTAAAAGGTCAATCGTTACTCCATTAAGAGCTTAGGTCGTACCCTCTCCTCCGAGCCAGGAGGGCTCCAGCAGCTCCATCATGTACTCCACCTCTATCAGGATGTGAGGCCTGTTGCACTCCACAATCACGTAGGACAACGACGGCAGGAAGTCTTCCCAGCTCACTTCCTGTCCTGGAGAGACAACAGGAGGACGTAAATTACTTACAATTTGGATAATATTATGTATATATCATAGCAATTTGTATGGACAGAAAAGGAGAAAAAAAGTTGTCGTCAGCTTGGTAAAAATATATAATAGGTAATATTCAGCTTTACTACCCTGATGATGCATTCTTTTGCAGCCGGTCGTGCTGAGAGGCAGACAGGTCGTGCTGCAGCTCACACAGATACAGTACGCCTGAAGTGTGGAGCTCTTGAGAGTGAAAAGACACTCTCGCCTTTGCAAAGATTGTGTTGACCTTCATTCCTTTTTTCAAGGAAGCTTTCAAGCAGCAAATACAGTACGCTGAATAACACAACGGCAATAATGGAATATTTGCAGTTGACCATGTCCCTCTGTAAATGCATGAACTTGAAATCAAAGTCATTTTTTAGGACTACTTGTTTACTTTAGAGCCTTTAAAATCCAGTGAAATAATGTAAATGTTCTCACCGTGTAAGGACCCCATGGCCTTGTGCACACACTTGCACACTTGCAGCAGCAGCAGCACCTTGTCGATGGGGGAGTGCGTCCTCTGCATCAGGAGCAGCTTCTGCTTCACCCTCTCCACCTCGCGGCTGTCGGGGACGCCCGTCCGCACGCCGAGCTGCTCCATGGCGGCGTCCCCCTTCAGGCGGATCATGTTCTGGGTGAGGCGCTGGCTGGTGCCGTCCTGGTTGTGCGACGCCACCAGAGCTTTCTCCAGGTGGGACCTCAGGGGCCGGAGCACGCAGGAGAACATGGCTCGCTCCAGCGCCAGGTCTGAGGACAGAGGGGTTCATCTTTTGGCTGAGCCTGAGACATTTCTTTTGTATTACTGTGAGTTTTTCTTTTCCTGTAGACACAGTTGCTTGTGCGTTTTATTTATTTTGTCATTTGCAGGTGGAGAAACGTGTCTACATATCTAGAGGCACTGGCAAGAGGCCCAGAGAGGTATGCTGTCAGTGCTGTTGAATTATTTAGCTGAATGAAAGTGTCAACAATGAAAATGGAGGCGCTTTCTTCCTCTTGTAGAAAAATGTTTAAATAAATACCGAGGACATCTTTTTCTGCTGTGGAGGGGACTGATTTTCGAATTGATCGCATATGTGATTAAATTGTGTTTTTACCATTTTTTTAACAACTTACAAAACACAGAAAAAATAATCAACCTTAACATCTTGTGTTCATGTGATTTCTAAATTGTATTTTGACTGCTGCGATATTTATCGATATCTTGATATGAGACTAGTTATCGTCTGCGATTTGAGGTATCGTAATACGGCATAAGTGTTTTCCTGGTTTTAAAGGCGGCATTACAGTAAAGTGATGTCATTTTCTTAACTTACCAGATTGTTTTAGCTGCTCTGTTATTTGCTTTTACCCATTTAAGTCATTATATCCACATTACTGATGATTAAAAATCCAATTGTCAACCTTACAACACCGTCTCAATATCTATATCGTGATATTTGATTTTCTCCATATCACCCAGCCCTGAATAAATTAAAATGTAAATCTTGGAAAACTTACTGAATAACAGTTTATATTTTGTGTGATCCTCCTGCCAAAACATTGTATTATTTTCATAAGGACATTTCATTTCTGGAGGACACCAACGTTCACACAACATAGAATGTTTCAAGAGTTACTCTAAACAGGCAGCTCAATGTGAAACGGTTGTGTCAGTTTCTCAAGACAGGAATAAAAAAAACTCCAACAGCAGAATACTTTCCGAGGCAGACTTGACAAACCACTCTAACTTTCCCAGGAGGTAGAATGTGTTGCCGTGCTGCTGTATTGGATTGCATCAGATTGTCCACCTGGTGTGAATTTCAGAGAGTATGAAAGTATGAAAATCCTACAGTACTCTTTCATACACGGTGACTCTTCATCATAGAGAGACCCACATGTTCACATATTTATTTACGTGCTGGGAGCCAAAGGCAAAAATACATTTCTAGGGCCTCTTTTTAACCCCTTGTTAATGTTTTCCTAGCACCTGTAAAGCTAACATTCTGGAGATACAGTTTCATTTTTGGCCTGACAACAGTGATGTGTAATGCAAAAAAACTCTGGGGTTTCATTACACATGCATGCTCTCACACGTGGACACACACACACACACACACACACACACACACACACTGATTCTCCTGCAGTCAGTGGGCAGTCCTGACTAAGTGGGTAACAATTCTCCAGTGCACACTGTTTTCCACTCATCATCAATATCCTCCTCTCCCTCTCTCATGTTTCCCTCCTGTATAATCTCCCAACATCCCCCCCCCCCTCCCTCCCCCATCTACCTTACTATATCATTCCCCTTGTGATTAATCATTCACGCCCTCCATGCTCTCCATGTTTCTCTACCTCCCTCTCCTCCCAGCATCCCTCTCTCTTTTACCAGCTCTTAAGAGTAACAGATTACATGTAATGCGATTACAGCCTTGTTAGTTACCGGCTAGTTCTGAGGAAGAAAATGGACTTTTTCCGGCTATTACTCATAGATCTGTAACTGATTACATTTTCAAAGTATCCTGCCTATTTCAATCCCTCCCTCCCACCCTCCCCTGAATCGTGCTGCTCTTCAAGTGAGCGTGGGACTGTGATATCTTTTTATGATAAACGAGGGGGAGAAAAAAAAAGAAAAAAAATGCAAATGCCTCCCACCGACGCAATGCGAGATAAATCAGAAAACAGAGCGCAGGAAGGAAGGATGGGAGGAAGGAAGGAAGGAAGGCAGCGGCCGACCGCTCTCCCCTGAAGCCTCTGCACTGCCAGGCAACCATCCATCATGACACATTTACGCATAAACACACCTGCGAAACACACACTCGGCCGCACTCAAAGGAGTCCAAAAAAGACAAACCTACGCACAGGACTGTGTCAAAAGATCTAACTAGAATCCTTCCAGTTAGCACCCTGCGATGCCTTCACAATAACGAGAACAATCGCGCTTTGAATGTGATGGATGTGAGTGCAGGCGCGTCAGGGACGGGCTTTCCTAATGCTGTTTTCTAAATACCAGAGACAATATGAGCTCTGGTGAATGAGGCTCTACCCCCCCCCCACGCAAACTACTTTGTGTTGACAGTGCCTTTCACTGGAGCCTGGGCAGCCCACCATTTATGAGAAAAAGGCTGTCTGTTTCCATAGACCTGCGTCCTCTGGCACCATGCTCTATTGAATCAGTGTTTTCTAACAGTAAGGCTTTTTTTTCTTCACATTTCTCTGCCTCCTGCTGTCCCCCGGTGCACTCTGCACCGTCTCCTCGTTTCGACGTGATAAACTTAATCACGCAAACCAGAAATTTTCACGAGGTTGAGAAGATTGAGCTCCGAATGTAATCCGGCACAGTCGGCTAAATTCAATTTGCAGATGAAATAAAATTGTTATTTCTTCGATTTCAATTGTGGAGAATGACTTTTATGTGCACAGTTCCACATTTACGATATGTAAAACACTTTCTAATAAGGTATACTTTATAGGAGATGGTTGTTTTCCATTTCACTTTTACAGATTCAGGGTATAATTAAATCTGTCCGAGTTTAGTTCTGCTGTATCAATATGAACCTTCCTCATGACAGGAAGTTGGTTCAACAAATCTGATTGTTTGAGGCCTAAGGCTGCACTACATGTCTTTGAGATATGGGCCATCTCTTCTTGACCTGCAATTACTCATTTACTTTACTAAGTGCAAGAAAACGGAAATTAAGTTTGCCATACTTCACTGCCTCACAAGACTTATGCACTCTTAAGAGATTAACAGCCGTTATTTGAAAAACATGTCCATGCTATCATTCAAATATAATGTGTTTTAAATTGATGTTAGCTGTATTGTGTATTGACACCTTCACCAGGTTCGTGTTTTGGTTACCTTTCTCATTCTCGGGCACCAGCGTCTCGATGGGAGGCTCCAGCTCTCCGCTGTCCAGCAGGCAGCACTTTGCCTGAGACAGAAAGAGGCGCAGACCCTGCAGGAGCTGCACAGAGGTCACACGGGAAGAGGATGAGGAAGAGGAAGAGGAAGCCAGGGATTTGAGCACCTCTCTCTGTGCCAGGAGGAAGTCCTGGACCATGCCGCCAAAGATGGAGCGCCTGTCCCTGGACAGCTCCTCCACCAGTCGCGTCAGCCGCTTGTCCGGAGCGAAGAAACAGACGAACGCCTCGCTCATGCGGTGCAGCCCGCCGCGGCCTCGAGAGCGCACGAGCGGCGGACGCTGGTAGAAGTGAGCCTGGGCCTGGGCCATGCTCTCCGGATCTGAATCCGAGTCGCTGTCCTCGTCCATGCTGCTGAAGGAGCTGCTGCTGTCGAGCTCGGCGAGGGACGGAGCCGGGCGGCGCTCCAGGGCCAGAACCGCCACCTCGATGCCTTGCGCCTCTGCCCGGATGGACTGCCGGGCCTGTGGGGGCCCCTCCACATTTGCAGATGTCTTGATCGGGACAGAAGTGAGTCAGTTTATTAAAAAAATAAATAAGAAAGCATGTTTAATTTGAGACATTTATGGTTGTTAATATCAATACAAAACATGAAAATGCTGCTGTAGAGATGCTTTTCTTCAACATTCTAATACTCACAGTCCCACATAGAAGTGAAGGAACGGTCTGAGAAACAAATAAAGATGTAAACACGTATTACTTGTGGCACATAGACAGACATCATGTCCTCTTCATCCACAGAACCCGGTGATACGGCGGGGGTTCTCCTCAGCACGCCCGCCCCAGGGTGAACTTTTCTCTGTGGGTTGCTGCCGGCCTTCTGCAGCCTCTCTGACCCTCCCGGCAGCTCCAGTGACGAGGGAGGCGAGTAGGAGCCGACCCCCTCCAGGGACAGATTCATGGAGGACTCGGAGAGCCGGAGCCGCATGCTGCGCTTGAAGCGGTGCCGTTTATTGGAGGCACTGTGGTTAATGAGTTGTGGCTGCTGCAGAAAAGAAAAAAAAAGTCGATTCAGACCTTCATCTCGCAAGAGCCAGTGGCTTTTTGATCTGTTTGTTTTTCAAAGGGTATGAAGTGAAGTGTGAGACGAACAGTAGTTCCATTAGCTGTCATATAGGAGGATGGATTCAGAGCCGTTGTAATGGACTTAACTTTAAAAGAGTGAAGTTTTCAGGCCTAGACCATTTTAAGTCTTTAAATGGTCTCCGAGAGCTCACGTAACCATACAACCTTCGCTACTTACCATGCTGACCTCCAGCTGTAGGAAGAGCGGGTTGATGAAGCAGAGTTTGCCTGGTCTACCCAGGGACAGACGTAGGTCCTGGGCCGCCGACGTCTGGCCCTGGCTGACGCTGGTTGACGCCACCGGGTACACCGGTCCGTTTTTGATCTCTGAAGCCGTCGGTGTGCTCCAGAACTCTAGTCCGAGGAGAAGAAGAGAGTTTGGATACCAACGTTTTGCAGTTACACGTTCAATAACTGTAGATCAATCTGATCTTTTCTAGTTTGTGTGCAGCAGTTGCGCAAATATTAAAAAATCAATGTGGTCATGATTCACTCGTGTTACATAGAAACAGAACAGAAAAGCGATGCAATATGTGCTGTATAATGTAGGTTTGTCTGACTGGAGCACACTGCTTTTGCAGAACCACGGTGAGAAAGAGTCTTTTGTCTCTGAGCTGCAGTCCGTGACACATGCTGTGTCTTACTCGTGTCATTTGCCATCTTGAAGTCACACCTCGTTCTCTGCTGGTGCATAAGTATGTTACCATGTTAAAATAGATGCCAGCTGGCAGTCACTACTATCGTCACTTAATACTTTTACTTTTATTTAAACATTTGAAACACTTTGCTGAGGAGAAGCCACTACAGAGCAAGCTCACTGTATCCTCACAGTATCCAATGCTGCAAGGCGGTAATTTAAAAAGGATGCTTAACTTCAGTTTGATAGTTATCTATACAAAGAATACGTATATAAAACTTCAAGCGATATTTGTTAGTATGCTCTCTTTTTGGCAGTTGGTTAGTTGGTGGGTAAAGTGAGTCAACAGGCATGCTAGCATTGCTGCGAGGCGAGCAATTTGACCTGCTGATAATGCCAGATGAAAAGTCAGGGGGTCATCAAAGGTATTACAATTCATCCTGAGCAGGGGCATGGATGTCTGTACTTGAGAGGTCTTCACCGTACCTTGTCCCATGTGTGAGATGGCCTCCAGCTGCCTGTGTGTTGTGGCTTTAGCGATGGCCTCTGGTAGCTGCAGCGGGAAGGGCAACACATCTCTGCAGACGAGGGTAAAATCGACACGAAAAAGAAATGAAATGAAACCCCCGAGGACATGTGCCAGATGTCCAGAAGGTCTTGGCTGAGTGACATCAGGTGCGTTTGCATGGCCAAAAGTATGTGGACACCCACACGTGATGTGTTGCACATCTCCACTCTTCTGGAAAAGGTTTTATACAATATTTTGGGACCTGGCTGAAGAGGTTTGCTGCCATTGAACCACAAGAGTATAAGAGAGGTTGACCACCTCCCAGACGACGTTACAGTTCATTGGAAAAATGTCGGAAAAGGTCAGAGCCAATCAAAACAAAAGGAAACTGGGAAAACTATTTGTATGGACCTCGATTTGTTCAGAGGGGCGTTGCCACGTATCAACAAACGGCCTTCTCTAAACTGTTATGTTATTAGGAATTCCCTTCATTGGAACAAGGGGGGAAACCATGCAAAACAGCCCCCCAGCTGTCCGCATGCTTTTTGGCCATGCTGTGTTTTCAGTTCCCATAATGCATCACCTGCTGATACAGTAGAAGGCCACCAGTCGACACAGGTCAGGGAAGGTGAGCGCCGAGCTCTCCAAGGCGAATGCTGGTTATGGAAGAGACAGAGTGTGACTGACAGCTGTGGAAGGCAGTGGGACACTTGTTCAAATCTAGCAGGAAAACATGGCGGCCAAAAATAATGTGGAGAACCCATCGTCTCTGTCCTACACCACTTTACCCGGAGAGTGTGTGAACTGCAGCTGTTGCATGGATGACACGCGCTGATCTAGCTTTTTTTTTTATACTCACTGGAGTCGTCCTCACAGATGAAGCACTCCTTAACAGAGGAGGCACTTTTGTCCGCCGTCACTCTCAAACACAGCACCTTCCTCTGGCTGGAGCTGCATTTACGCACCAGAAATGTCTGGAAGCGCCGACAACCACCACAAGGAAAAAGGAATAAAGCGCAGGGACGTTAAAAATACATTTTCTTTTTCACAGATTATTCCGGAGGAGGCACAGATGGTCCAAATAGCAACGTAATGTACAAAATAATAAGCAAGATATATCATGAATATTCAGCTATCAGTGTGCAGTCGAAGCCTCAGAGGAGCTGTATGAAAATAAAATGATTGGTGTCTTTGTTAAAAATGACACATGTCCATCGTCCATGTCTTTGGTCAAGATGAGCAAACGTTTACTTTCACCTTTGGGGAAATTGAAGCTTCCTTAGTTAAATCCCACAGTTTTATGATTTTCTTTAGTTTCTTTAAATATATCAATGTGCCCCAAAATGTTTCCCTGTATTCCTTTAACTCATAAGGTCCTGTGATTGAAATAACCCGACTAGTCCGTACCCCAACAGGCTCCCTAAGCAGGACGTAGAGGACGGAGTCCTGGTTGAGTGACAGCTGCAGCCACACGGGATGTGTGAGCAGCAGGCGATCCAGGACGCTGAAGACCCGCTGAGGGCCTCGATGGGTGCTGCCCATCTCCTGCATCTGGAACACAGGAAGTACCAGGTTATTACTAAAAACAAAACAGCAGATAATTAGTTTGAACATCCATTTCGACAAAAGAAATCACAAGATTAGCTTTGCAACGACTAAATGTATGTCCACAAGGTCTTTGTCATACATACAGATTTTCTCTCTGTATGTTTTTGTCAATGAGTTCAGCGGCAATGAGTAAACTCTTTATGATATTTATTATATAAGAGCAGTTTGCACAGATTTTCCTTTAGAGCTGTGCCCAGACCGTGGCCCCTAAAGCTGAAGTGAAACCTACGCACTACACGAGTGTACTTATACTGTAAAGAGTTGTGTGAGTGTGACGGTGAACATACACATGTCGCTAGCGCTACATCGTGCCTTTATTACTTAGATCAATATCCCATCTATTGGATATGTATCGCACTGGATTTATCTGCAAAAATCCAACATGAGTGAGAGGACGTTGTGGTTCATGATCGTCACCTTAACCTCTCAGCTAAGCTTCACCTGCAGTCTGAAGGTTTTAACCAACTCATCCTTCAAAATTCACTTCAAAGCTCCAAAAGGATATTTAAGCAGCTTTACATCCTTCTGTTCAATCTATAATCAACGTGTTGTTGTTGTTGTTGTTCTGTCTTCACTATCACAACAGAAAACACAACATATTTCTGAAAAATGGATGTGTTTGAACTAAGACTGGAAAAAAATGCACCTTTACAATCCTTCAGTTTGAACTCTGTGTTTTCCTTATTGTATTTATTTATCTTTTTGAATAGATGATGTGACAGTGATCTGGTGTCTCCTGGATCAATAAAAGGAATTTAAACCTCAACCTCTATCTCTCTCTCCTTCTGCCTCTCTCTCCTTCTCTCTCTCTCCCTCCCCCTCTCTCTCTCCTCATCCCTCTCTCTCTCCTCATCTCTCTCTCTG